TAGACTAGAAATTTAAATCAAATAGTCAGAGACAGGCAGTCAAATTCATGCTGCAAAAAAACTATATTCAGCAAGCATTACATCATAAAGCAGTAACAAGACCTGCTTAAGTTAACAAATAAGAGCATGATGTAAATGTATGGCATATCCAAATACAGGCAACAAGGTTTGAACCTTACATGCACAAATGCACAAATGAAGGCATGTGCACTCGCATGAACTCTGGGCTTTTCTACTAAGTGCTCTGGTTAAGATGCAATAAATCTGGTTGTAAGTATGTAGTACATCCTAAAAATGCTTATTTACAGAATGGAAATTAACAAATTCATGGCTGACCATCAACTTCTATATATTCCTTCAACACCTACATATATTTAGCAACTTTACTCTGCTGGTTACGTTGGACATGAAATATTTTCCAAGAATCAAATCACCTCTATGATTTTTTGATAAATCATGAGTGGTAACTACCCCACATTGCAAATTCTCCCAAAGATTGTAACATGTTTTCTGATGGAAGGCAAGGAGCTAACCATGACAGCAGTACCACATGGTAAGTCCACTTCCATCAATCCTTATATAAAACCCCATATTTCATAATGTGCACAATAAATCATATTTTTATCCCAGAAAGCAGATCAAGTTATTAGAACTACACTATCAGAGCAGTTTCAATCAACTAATATTAGTCTTAGTTTCCATTCAAGAGTTATCCTGGTGTCTTTTATCACATATTAACCTTTAATCAACAAAATACAAGTGCCAGCACCAAAGCATGTGGCTCAATGGTAGGTGTATGTACCCCCCTGCTCAAAGATCTGGGTTCAAATCTCCGTTCCCACAAATAATATGTAAGTGCCAAAACAAGACACAAGAGAAACAAAGAAGGGAATATATGCACCGACCCAAATGCTTTCCGCAACTGTAAACATTCTCCATTCAAGAAGTAGGGAGCTTCTTCCGTGCAACCTTTGGCCCATGAATTTAAGCATAAACGAACACATGCATCGTAAGACAGCACTGCACACCATGGACCAAGCCCACTGGAACAGTTTAATCAATGCAGTCAGTTGTCAAAACTGTACGAAGGTATAATGTCTAAACGAAGAGAAATGTGTGCTTTGCTTAGCTATTTAACTAACCTTGCATGAAAAATGGGGCGATGAGTGGTTAAACTACTAGCAGATTCATCGACTCCTCCACTGTCTGCAGTCCTGCAACACATAATTGTATGATTGAAGTGTCTTGATGACTTTTTGTTTATAACAGCAAGGGAACTAGGGTAGAGATGTAGACATACACACCTGACAGATGGGTTGAGAATCTCATCCCTGGTGTAATCCTGAACAATGGTATCATCATAAGAAGGCTTCTTTTTTTGCATTCCTCCATTAAGAAAAACCTACATGCACTTAGATAGCTGAGTACAACACAAAGTGTAATGACTTTAGATTAACAAAAAAATTAAGTAGAGCATCACAGAAGTCTCTTATTTCAATCGTATCAATTCCAGATTGCACATGTATGCAAGTTACAAAATTCCTCTTAATAAAGCCATTTAAACATCTTCAGGCCCGTAACCGGTTCAAGCAATTAGAAAGTTCAGAAAATTAACACTTGGGATGTTAAACCCCAGGTAGCCCACCCATTGATCTGGTGGTATTACCCAATATATCTTGCATTAGAAAAAAAAAAGTTTACATACATCCCTCAATTTGTATAAGCAAGAACAAAAAGGAAAAAAAATGCCGAGTAATTTTCAACTTTAAAGCTTCAGTGGCACAAGTTAAGCAACTTAATCAAATGAATAACAACTTAACAAAGAAAAAATAAAAGGAGGAACCTAATGAAAAAGCAAATTTCTGAGAAAGAACATACTAAAACCTAGTTGTAACAGAATGCTAGCATCACGATGCACTGATCCACAGAGTACTGAAATAGCTTTTGCATCCAAAACAAGTTCATTGATAGGTGCAAACCTGTTTAGATGCTCGTTCATTGCGTACCCTAGAAGCAACAGTAGAAGAATAACTATCTGTATTATGGGCTTCTCTATGAGGTGCAACAGCATCACTGCTTCTATACTGCATAAATGAAACTTCAGTGCTACTGGCAGAATCTGACAATTGCACTTCTTGAATGTGAGGCTTCCCAAATGGGTTCCCACCACAAACCTGTGCTGGTCTCTGAGCACTATTTCCTAGTTTCAGCTGAATTTTACTATTACCACAAGCCTCCAATTTCTGCGAGGAAGCAGCACGTGTAGCAGCTGCAACAGTTGGCACCTTATCATCTTGTGGAGAAGATATGAACGAGTACTGCCTGTCGTAAGCACACTCATCTGAATCAGATGACGTGTCCATGTCTGATCCAGAACCACCATCATTGCCACTAACAGATATTCCCCCAGACACTGGAATTACACCTGAAGATATATGTCCATTATGGAATTTCGCTGGAGGCAATCCAGAGTGCCATCCAGCATTTCTTAAACTGGGAATAGGATCAGGTCTTTGTCTCGCAGTCATTGTCATACTAAAAACATCTCTGTTCTTGGCACCCGCCCCCTAAAACAAGTTTAAAACATTAAGATCAGACTCTCCCACTAAACACAGAAATATATATTCACATAAAGATATGTTTGCACCAAATACCTAAACAAACGCACAGATATATGAATCTGTACGTATAAATTCGAAATGACTCACCTCGCGAACCCATCTTAGCACATCATTGTCAAGGCCCCGCGTGAACATTGTAGTATAGTTTCTTCGTTTTCACCTAAAATCCAACAATTGAGAGAGAATTTAACACCCACACTACAATTGAAGAACTAATAGGCCAAGACACACAAGTAAAAGAGCAGAAGCAAACTAAATCGCTCATCAAAAACTAGCACACTCCAATGCGGCGTCTTTTCTATCTGTCTTGCCAGCCAAGCAGTGCCGTAAAAAACAGAAGTCCAGTACTTCATAACAAAAACTCAAACTTTACCAAAACCAGCAAACGAAAAAAAAATTAATCGAAAATGTAAAAGCCTCACTTTGTTTAATTGTTATTTGACACATCAAAGGAAAATCAATGGAAAAAGGTGGAAAAAACTATAAGTTGCCACCGGCATTCTTTCATTTTTATTTTGTTAGAGAATTCCCACCAGCCAAACAGACAAAATAAGATTCTGTAATTCGACTTCACATGCAAATCAGTGATCAGAGAGTACAAACAAACCAATTGCTAAAATCCCATTTGTGCTTTAACGATCAAACAAGCAAAAGGGTATCACAAAAACTCAACAAAATGCCGCCGACCAAAAGAAAAAACTTGACTTTTTGTACCAAGTTTAGTAAAAGAGAGAGAAGAGATTAAGACTTACTCACACAATGAGAAGGGGAATGGGAATGAAAGAGAAAAAACAATAATTGGTCTTGTTCCACTATTCAAACAAACATCTTTCTCTG